CCTAGATTTCTTCTCCTGAAAGAATAATGGTTACTCTGTTGATTTGTTGCCTAGATGATCTGTCCAATGCTGACAGGTATGATCAGGTCAACCAATATTGTCATAGAGCAGATGCTGCTTCTGTCACTCTGCAATGGGATTTGTGGAGAGAGACATCCTCTTCTTTTCTTTATCTCTGCTAGTGATTCTCCTTGTGTCAATGCACTCCAGTGGCTGGTGGACCATCTGTGTGGTGGTTGTGGCATCTAGCTGCTTTTGCGGCAGCCATGGTTATTGTGGTGGCTGTGGTGGGCCACTCACATGGAGGTAATGTTTTTGGCATGCTCCTTGGTGCTGGCGGTGTGCCTGGTTGTGGGGAATGTCTGGTCCCTGCCTCCATGCCTTGGGTCCCCGTGTGGGTCCCAAGGTGCTGGCACGGTGTGCCTGGTTGTGGGAGGGGTGTCTGGTCCCCTTCTCCATTCCTTGGGTCACTGGGTGGACCCCTAGGCACTGGCGTGGTGTGCCTCATTGTGGGAGGAGTTCTGGTCCCCTTCCCCATGCCTCAGGTCCCCAGGTGGACTCCATGGCACTGGTGCAGTGTGCCTGGATGTGGGAGGGGGGTCTTTGTTAACTTCTAATTTCATTGCATTGTGGTCAGAGACTATGAATTGTATTCTTTTCTTTCTTTCTTTCTTTCTTTTTTTTTGATGGCTAGCTAGTAGGAGGATCTGAACCCTTGACCTTGGTGTTATATGAATTGTATTATTCCTGTTTTTTGGAAGATTTTCTTTGTGAATAGTTCAGGTATATTTGGACAGGTGTGTATTTTCTATGGAGAGTAAGTGCCTGTTGAATACTTTGTCAGTCTTGCTCCTCAGACCCTCTACAGTCTTCCCTATATTTAGTCTACTAGATTTTTTAGTTTCTGATAGAGATGTATGAAAGTTGCTGCTATATAGATTTTGGGGGGATGGGGGGAAGTAAGTTTCTAGTTCTAAGTTCTTTTGAAAGCTTAGGTCTTAATATTTTGTTATCTCTGGGGCCGGCCTGTGGCTCACTCCGGAGAGTGTGGTGCTGATAACACCAAGGCCACGGGTTCGGATCCCATATAGGGATGGCCAGTTAGCTCAATGGGTGAGCGTGGTGCTGACACCATCAAGTCAAGGGTTAAGCTCCCTTTACTGGTCATCTTTTTAAAAAAAATTTTTTTTGTTATCTCTTAAGAACACCATGTGACTGTGCCACTCTGCACCCTGGCCTCCTTACCTGCCTTGGAGGGTCCGCGCTGCCTGCCCTGGGCTTCCCACTGACCCTCATTTCCTGCTCTGCCCTACTCCCTTTCTTACCCTGATGCAAGAATACACCCAAGCTAGTATTTTCACAGTATTTTCATTTACACAGAAAGTATCTGCATATATTCTCTTTAACGCACTATAGAAAAAGGCAAATTCCCTTTCCTCACTCCTTAACCCCCAAGTACTGGTTTTTTTCTCCATTCCCCAGAGGGAACAACCTTACAAGTTTGATAGTCTCCTTCCAGAACTCCCCTAACCTTTTATTTTCTGCTTTTACATATATGTCTATAGTCTCTGAAAATCTATAGTATTGCTTTGAAAATTTAAAAAAAAAAAATTGATGGTGTGATTTTCTGTTATATTGCAACTTGATTTTTTCCCACTTTTTTCAACGTCTCGGATAGCTATCTATTTTTATTTCAGAAGATGAGGTGCATACCACTCTGCAGTATGTCTGTACCTTAGTTTGTCTGGATATTCCTTTATTGAAGGGCGTTTAGGTTGTTACTAGTTCAGGGTTGCACATAGTGCTATGGTAGGCCTCCATGTAAGTGCCCTGTTGAGACACCTGTATGTCTGTAGACTGTATATTAAGGAATGGGCTCACTAGATTGTTCCCTTGTTTGCCCAGCAGGTTTTGTTCGTTGTACTTTGAACATGGGCTGTTTGGTGCTGGCCACATATGTGAAATAACTTTCTTAAATAAATGTACTTCCGTTATCGTTGGTTGCTTTTGCAGTGAAAAATGTAGGCTCTGCAGACTTCGTGAACCTAATGCAATGTGTATCCTTCCAAGACATTGTCCCTCTTGGTTTCCTAAATCAAGAAAGCTTGTTGAAACAATGATAGAAGTTCTAGATCAAAAGGGAGACAAGAGGTTTTGCCTCATAATTCTGGTTCTAACTATTTATTCTAAGGAAATAATCAGGGATACATGCAAGATATATGAAAAAGCCTCTAATGCAATATTATTTTTAACAGTGAAGAAATAAAAGAGTTATTAAAAAAATAACTTTTAGTAAAAATTATTGCTTACAATAAACTTTGATATATCTACATGCTAGAAATCAAGAAACATTAAAAATGTGCCATAGAAGATGTTTAATGGTAGGGAGCAAATGTTTATTATAAATATTAAGTGGAAAATAAAAAACAGATGTATACACCTGCATGTGCAGCCTGTTTCCAATTTTTATATCAATGTATCCTTATGTGTATGTGTGTGTTGTGGTGGATGGTAACAACTGTGGCCATATTATAATTTACTGTATTTTCAATTTTTACACACACACAAAAAACTCCAAAACCTAAAACACTGCCACTGTAATCAGGTGGGGAGCAAAGGGGTTTTTTTGTGTGTTTTTTTTTTAAAGATATAGCTTTGTTGTTGTTTTGGCAGCTGGCTGGTACAGAGAACGAAACACTTGACCTTGGTCTTATAACACCATGCTCTGACCAACTAAGCTAGCTGGTCAGCCCATTGTGTTTTTTTTTTAAAGATATAGCTTTGTTGTTGTTTTGGCAGCTGGCTGGTACAGAGAACCAAACACTTGACCTTGGTCTTATAACACCATGCTCTGACCAACTAAGCTAGCTGGTCAGCCCAGGAAAAGGTATTTTTGAAAGGGAAAACAAAGTTTTCAAAGTGGTTTGGGCTACTTTTAAAAAATATTAGAATTTATTCTAATATGCAAAAGTATTTTTATTTTAACGTCAGATGTAGAAAATACATGGGCATGGTTCACTTTATCACTGCCTCTCAGTGATAGCTAGGCTCAAGGTTTGTGCTTCATACATGAATGTTAGTGAAGGCAGGGAGCTTAAAGATCCACGAACTCATGTGCCTTGTTGCAGGGGAGGAAACAGGTCCAAACAGGTTAACGTTATTGATGATTAAGAAAAGTACCCAAGGGTCTAGAGTCTGTGGAATCATAGAAATGATGGAGCTGGACGGGAACATAGAGGTTTTCTAGTTTAAGGTTCCAGGATCAACTCTTAAGGGCAAGGGAGCTTCTAAGTAAGTTCTTCAACCTTGGAGAGTTTGAAAAACCACTGCTTCCAGCTGAATTTTCACATTTTTCAACTGAGGAAATGGGAAAACTGGGAGGGTGAGAGAGGCACTTAAAGTCCTATGTCCTTTTTGTCAGGGCTCCATGGCCAGGGGCTTTTTCCTTCTTTTTGGTTAACATTTATTTGGCATTCATTAGTTGCTGGGCATGATTCTAAATGCATTCTAGGTGTTAAATAGTCACAATGACATTAGGAGATTGGTGTTCTTCTGATCCCCATTTTACAGAGGAGGAAGCTAATGCTTTGAGGAAGTGACTGCCCAGGGCCTTGGCCAGTGTCACAGCTGGGCTTTGATGTAATATTAAGCCCATGCTCTTAAAAACTGTACTGCCTGCCTTCCCCCAGCAGTGAGCTGCGTGGCTTTTACAGTGTATGAGGGAGCCGTGTCTGAGTCATGTTCCTATGAAGGGTCCAGTACAAACACAGCTCCAAAAGCTCCTATCACCATGGACGCGGGCCTGTCAGAGCAGGGAGGGTGGGAAAGAAATTGACCAAGGTGGTTGAGCCTCGGGGCACAAGGGAAGAGAAATCCCAGATGCTGGGCTGCTGGCTTGAAGATTGGGGTTTTCTGAAACACTGCTCTCTTCTTTTTAAGCATGTAAGTTTGTGAACAGACCACATAACCTGACTTAGAGACTGTTTGGGTTGAAAGGGCTGTCAGGGTTGACCTGGTTCCATTTCCGGTCTTGGATTCTTGACCAGCTGTCGGTGCTGGTCCTCAGGCCCGTTGGGGACAGTGCTGCACCATGTCCTCCTAACCATCATTGTTCCAATCAGACCCCATTGCTCCTGCCCACCACTGCTTAAATGCCTCCTCCTAATAGGTCCTAATAGGCCTCCTGCCTCCAGCTCTTCCAGTCTATCTTCTACACTTTAAAAGTTAATCCCAAATTAGATGACATTATTCTGATTTTTACAATCCTTTCTTAGTTCCTCATCATCTCCAGGACAAAACCTGAACCTCTTGTCCCACAGTATGAGGTCCTTTGTGACATGATTCCCGGCTACAGCTTCACCTCTTTGTCTCATCACTGTGGTTACTTTATTGAGCTCCTTGAGCCTGCCCGAATTGACTTGAAAGTTCTTGCTTCCATCTTTTTCATAACTTGTTTCCTGCAAGAATTGTCCTTTCTTGGGCCGGCCTGGTGGCGCACTGCTGCAGTGCACCGCTTGGGAGTGTGGCGGCGCTCCCGCCGAGGGGTCAGATCCCACGTACAGACCGGTTCCCGCTCACTGGCTGAGCGAGGGGCGGGTGCAGCACTGAGGGTTGCGATCCCGTTGCCGGTCTCGGTCCGGTGTGGGCGCGACACTGAGGGTTGCGGTCCGTTGCCAGACACGAAAAAAGACAAAAAGGAAAAAAAAAAAAAGAATTGTCCTTTCTTTCCTCCTCCCCAAAGGTCCCTTCCTTACAGGAAGCCCTTCTCCCAGGCTGAGTTATGGCCCTTTCCTGTGTATCCCTACTGTGCTCTCTCACCATTGACTTGTTTGTATATCTACCTTCCTAAATAGTAAGCTACTTGAGAGCAGGAACTTGGCCTGTTCCCCCCCCCCATTTCCACCAGGAAATATCTGGCATATAGTAGATGCTATAGCATTTAATGAAAGAACAAATCACTTTTCTTCATCATTTGAACATAACATTATATTTTGACCTAGATTGCTTCTCCTATCTCTTGAGAAGTATGGATTTTAACAGCCGTCTTTACAATATTGGAGAAGAACTGGGCAGTGATGACCTGGTGTCCCTCAAGTTCCTGAGTCTGGACCACATCCCACAAAGGAAGCAGGAGTCCATCAAGGATGCCCTGATGTTATTCCAGAGACTCCAGGAAAAGAGAATGTTGGAGGAAAGCAATCTGTCCTTCTTGAAGGAGCTGCTCTTCCGAATTAATAGACCAGATCTGCTGGTCAAGTACCTGGACACTAGCAAGGAGGAGATGGAGAGGGAACTTCAGACACCAGACAGGGCTCAGATTTCTGCCTACAGGTGGGTAGAAATGCCACAATGTGGGGACTGGGAAGTGTGGATTGAATGAACCCATCTTCGTGGGCATTGCTCATTTGGTGGTCGTCTGTGTGGTATGACTTTGGAGGCTCTGAGAAGATATCCCATCAGGGCCAGATTAAGAAATTGAGGGGCCTTGTATATATAATTTAAAGAAAAAGAAGCTAAAACCATAAAATAAATTCATTTTTCAAAGAGAAACATTGCCTATAAGTACGCTGAAATTAAAATAGAGTTTTTCTAAATGTTTTAATTTTTCTCTTTCTCTCTTACCTCAGTGCCTCTGCTTTGCTGATGTGCAGATCACGTGCTTGCTTTGCCTGGCCATTGGGTAGAGTGTCACTGCTTCCCACCCTGAAACTCCCCTCCCGCCTGCTGCTGGATGCCCTTGAAATTTTCAGTGGGGTTAAAGCTTTTATTCCACACTTAAGACTCCAATGACAAAGTTCTCAAATGTGGTATGTGCTGCCAGGCCTCACCTCACCGAGACTGCTTAGTTCCTGTTAGCCCGGCTCCACCGTGAGCCTAAACTGCGGGAGAACAGCGCTGCCATGGGGTCATCAGCCAAAGGCCGAGAAACTCAGCTTCTCCCCACCTTTGGGAGAGTGGGCAGCCATGAAGTGTGATGGATAAGCTACTTTCAGTTACAACTTCATGACTCTGTGGCAAGACTTTACAAATAGAAACACGTTGTCACCTTCTCTCTTTCAACATTTCCTGTTATTGAACACTCAAAGTAATTTTTAGTGTTCCTTTTAGAAAACTACTTGAGCCTTAGCTCTGGCCCATTTCAATAACTGTGGCACGTGAGACAGAAAGGCCTCACAGTCAGGGCCGACAGCCCAGCCTATTCATGCCTTGGTCCTTCCATTCTCAGAGACCTGAGGTTCTGTCATGTTCCTTGTTATATGTCTCCCTATATGAGGGTTGGCTGTTTTGATTTTTAATGACAAAATAGATGTCCTCGTTATATGAATCTCCTAGGGCTGCTGTAACAAAGTACCACAAACTGGGTAAATTAAAAAACAATGGAGAAGTTTATTCTCTCATAGTTGTGTAGGTTCAAAGTCAGAAAATAAGATGTCAACAGGATTGGTTCCCTTTGGAGGCCCTGAGGGGACTCTGTCCTGTGCCTGTCTCCTAGCTTCTGGTAATTGTTGGCAATCCTTGGTGTTCTTTGTCCTGTAGATGTGTCACTCCAATCTCTGCCTATGTTCTGTTTGTCTGTTTGTTTGAATTTTCCTCTTATAAGGACACCAGTCATTGGATTAGGGCCCACCTTAAGACCTCATCTTAACAAGATTTTATCTGCAAAGACTTTGTCAAATAAGGTCACATGCTCAAGTTCTGAGTAGACATGAATTTTTGGGGAGCGGGGATGATGCTATTCAACCCCATGTGCTGGATCGCTTTGGTTTACTAGAATTGTGAAGTCTTTTTTTTTTTTTCCTTTTTGTCTTTTTTTGTGTCCGGCAACGGATTGCAACCCTCAGTGTCGCGCCCGTACCGGACCAGGACCAGCAACGAGATTGCAACCCTCGGTGTTGCTCCCACACCTCGCTCAGCCAGTGAGCAGGAACCGGTCTGTATGTGGGATCCGAGCCCTCGGCAGGAGTGCCACCGTGCTCTCAAGCGGCACACTGTAGCAGTGCGCCACTGGGCCGGCCACTACATAGAATTTTTAAATGCACATGTTTTGAAACCATGCTTACTGGTAAATTGCCTTCACTTAAGTATGGTATATTTTGACTACTGTAAATAGCTTCAAATCTGTAAAATGACAGATAACATGTACCTTTAGTGCTGATTGTTTCTTTCTTCTTCAAAACATCGTTAAGAAAGTATACAGGCAAGCAGTAGGTAGGGAGAAAATATTTCCCAAAACACATACCTGACAAATGACTGCTATGTAGGAAACATAAAGAAACTGCTACCATTCAGTAATAAAAAGATACATACATGATTTTTAGATAAATAGGCTAAAGATTTAAGGACAGTTCCCAGTGAAGATACACAAATGGTCAGTAAGAACATGAAATAAATTAATTATTTATCAGAGAAATGAAAATCAAAATCTTAATGAGATGCTACTATACATTCACTAGAGTAGCTAAAATTCAAAAGACGGACACTAATCCTAAGAAACAGCAGCCCCAGAAGTAGGAAAGCTGGGGGGGGGTCGCATCTTGTGCCCACCATCTTGGTCTTCTGAAGATAGAGATTCTGCCATGTGAGCTAAGCCAAGACAAACTGCTGGTGCCAAGGATCTGTACCTTCCTGGTGGAGGGCTGAGAGCTCCTAACAAGGGCAGGATCTATCTGTTAAAATCTCGAACACATTGGCTTAGAGACAAAAGGATCAGCACAATCACGACCTACTGCTTGTTCATCATTGTTGAATATTAATCAGGAGATTAAAAAAAAATGCTAGAGTGGCCACCTACCATTATAAGAAAACACTAGTCATTTTATTTTAAAATCATAATTGCAACCTATAAAATAAATATCTTATAAACTATCCAGGTTTATAACTAGACAATGATGATACAAGAAAGCCTGTGGGTTTCAATAATGAGGAAATTAAAAGGGCAAAATACTTTGTTAAAAAGAGTCTGTCTCCGTCTGTCTTTGGTCTCATTGCAGAATACCTGAAACCAGTTAATTTATAAAGAAAAGAAATTTATTTCTTACAGTTCTGGAGGCTGGGAATTCTAAGGGCATGGCTCAGCATCTGGTGAGGGCCCTCTTCTTGGTGGGGACTCTGTGGAGTCATGAGACGGCACAGGGCACCGCCTGGTGAGGGCTGAGCATGATAGTGTGTGCATGTGCTAGCTCAGGTGTCTTTTCCCCTTCTTATAAAGCCACCAGTCCCACTCCCATGGTAACCCATTAACCCATTAATCCGTGACTAGATTAACCCTTCACGATCCAACCACCTCCTTAAGGACCCGTTTCTCAACATTGCCACATTGGGAATTAGGCTTCAACATGAGTTTTGGAGGGGACATTGAAACCATAGCAGAGTCATAGCAGCTGTTGACTGGAGCCACTCTTGGTTAAACTGAGAAAGCTTTAGAGAAATGCTTCTAGGGTAGAGGTTCCATGAGAAGAAGATGAGGCAGGTGATAATACTGAATAATTTCTGTTTCTATGCTATTTTTATTTTTAGAATTTAAATTTTATAATTTAATCTTGAAGTTAATGTGTTTTTGTATTAAAGTTATTTTCCATTAGACCATAATATTGAAAAGTTTGCTGACATAAAACATTCCTTTATCCACCCATTTAATGAACATGTTCCAGAGCCTAAATGTGCCAGGCATAGATTAGGAAATAATAGTTTCTATTGCTTACTGAACACTTAGTGTATTGCCAAAGTTTGGTTTAAGTACTTCATATAAATTTGTGTGTGTGATGCCTGACATCTTCCCATGATGTACATATACAATTATGTCCAGTCTACAGATGAGGAAAAAATGTGTAACATGTTTAAATTCACAGCTCAAAGATGGTGGAACCAAAGTTCTAACACCAGTAGTCTGAGTCCTCTGCACTTAAACACTGCACTTCATAGCCCTCTGGGCTTATGAAAATTCAAGGGACATGAACCCAGCTATGAGGGAGCTCAGACAGTTTCATAAATGGGCAATTAGAATACATGTGTTATCCTTTGGGTGATACAAAGGCACGGCAGAGTGAATGCAGCCTGAGGACACTCGGGCAATGCTTGTGCTAATTGTGGGTGGGTGAGTGGGAGTCTGCAGACAGACAAGGGAATGGGGTGTGGGGGGCACAGCAGAAAGAGGTGAGAGGGCAGGACAGCTGGGTGTTTTTGGAGCTTCAGGTCCTTTGGTGTTGGTGGAGTCTGTGAGGGCTGTGCTGAGGGCGTGTTCAGAGTCCTTGTATTCCAGAACCAAATGTTTGGACTTCCTACTGATGGTAAAGACTGGGAGAGCACTGACCAGTTTTAATTAGGGAAGTGATGATCCAATTTGCATTTGGAAAAGCATAATTTCCAAAAGTCAAAACTTTTTTCTGTTGCAACAAGATCCTGATTTTATAGTGAAAGGCCAAGGAAAAACGAAATTTATCTAACTGAAATTAACTGAAAGACAAAGTTGATGGAACTCTAAATTTTAAAGGGTAGGGGCTGGCTTGTTATCCAGCTGGTTAGAGCATGGTGCTGATAACACCAGGGTTCAGGGTTCAATCCCTGTACTGGCCAATAGCCCCCCCCAAAAAGTTAAGGGTGGAATAGTTGGGCATGAGTCAATAAATGTCTGTGTCACTATGCAAACCTCTTTCCGAGGACTCAACTCATGGTCTGGCCAATTAGGTCACTTGGGAGAGTGTGGTGCTGATAACACCAAGGTCAAGGGTTCGGATCCCTGTACTGACCAGCTGTACCCCTCCCCCCAAAAGGGGAAACAAGGACTCATCTCATAAATCATATCATCAACTGGCTTTATTTTAAAGGGAGGCCATTGGAACCAAGTTTGCTGTGACTCCATTTATCAAATGAAAATTTATTTAGGAAAGCATTTCTAAAGTGTCTCCATTTCCTACCACAGGGTCATGCTATTTCAGATTTCAGAAGATGTAAGCAAAGCAGAATTGAGTTATTTTAAGTTTTTTTTGAAGAAGGAAATCTCCAAATGTAAACTGGATGATGACATGGTAAGACCTGACTACAGAGAGGGAAGATTCTGGTAAAAGTACCCCAGATTCTCACTTCGTATTGTAAATATGACTCCTTTATACTGTGAAGTGCTGCTCCGATTAATTACCAGGGGCGAGGCAGAGTCAAGAGCCAGGAGAAGAGAGGTTGTGCAGGCACAGCCCAATGTGGGACCAGCAGACCCTGGAGAGACAGTGGTGGCCTGAGACAGTCCCCACTCCTGCAGCCTCTGAAACACCTGGGGGCTGGAACTGTGTGTGTGTTGTGTGTGTCTTTCTTGTGTGTGTGTGGTATGTGTCTGGGTATGCATGTCTTTCTGTGGTGTGTGCGTGTGTGTCTATGTGGTATGTATGTCTCTGTGTGTGGCATATGTCTGTGTGCGTGTCTGTGCCTCTGTGTGTGGTATTATGTATGTGTTTCTGTGTGTGTGTCTCTGTGTTTGTGGGTATGTGTGTCTGTGTGTCTCGTGTTTCTGTGTGTGTGTGGTATGTGTCTGTGTGTGTGGCATATGTGTCTGTGTGTCTGTGTCTTTCTCTGTGGTATGTTTGTGGTACGTGTGTCTGTGTGTCTCTATGTCTGTGTGTGTGCCTCCATTTGCATGTGTCTGTGTGTGTATGTGAACTCAGGTCTGGAGGTGGATTGAGTGCCAGAGGCAATTTTGGGGTGTGAGGTGGTCCCCAGGCTGTCACCATGTGTCTCAGCCGCATACCTCAGGCTGTTTCACAGTCCTCACGTAAAGGCATCCAGAGGCAGTTTGATCACAGGACCTGGGGACCAGGTGACATCTGATATAGCTTCTCCTTTATCCTCTCACCTCTGTCTTTGCGGGCTGGAAAACAGAGTCTCCTCCCTAGTAGTCTATGGGCTGGAGACCAGCATGCTTTCTCAGAGGGTTCTGCTTGGGAAGTGAGGGCGGGCCCTTCGTTTGGAGAGAGTAGAAGTAAAAAGAAATTTAATCTAAAAACCAGTAAGGCTCAGTCCAGTCTTCCAACTTTATTTCTCCTCTCCCTAGAACTTACTTGATATTTTCATGGAAATGGAGAAGAGGGTCATCCTAGGGGAAAGCAACTTGGATACCCTGAAAAGAATCTGTGACCGAATCAATAAGAGCCTGCTGAAGAAGATCAATGATTATGAAAACTTAAGCAGAGGTAGAGATAACCCAACAGCTGTTAATCAGCAAAACATTGTTCTCAAATTGACAAATCCCTCGATGTCACAACTGTTTCTAATTAAATATTTGGGGTCTGGGTTTCTCTTTTAATTCAGAGAGAAGAGTGAGCCTTGAAAGAAGCCCAGATGAATTCTCAAATGGTAATGCCTGGAGATGCGTTTTCAAGATGTATTTAGTTCATTTACTCTCTGAGATCCTTATATCTCCTCCCTCAACCCTCTGCCACACCGGCATCGTAAGGGACCTGCTCTCCCAATGTCAGGATGACAGTTCACTGGCGGCTTGTAGTTGCCTTCTCTACATATCGAGACATATGAAGAGTGTCGAAAGGCACAGACCCTGCAGCCCCCAGCTGGCAGGTTTGAAACAGGTGCAGAGTTAGTCAGTAAAGGTTTTAACTTTTTTCTGTGTGTTTTTTTTCTCCCTTGACATCTGCTGCCTGTGTTATGCACTGGGTGGTTGAAATCATTTTTCAGAACTTCCTTGGTTAAGTCACTTCCTTTTTTCACGAGAATGATTTTGCTCTGTTCTCCAAGTAGGGGGCCCCGGCCAAGGGTGAGTAATTTCCCCCCTTCAGTCCCTGGGGCTCCTTCGTGGGGCCCCACACCTGAAACTGAGCTCCCTGTCACCTGCCTGCCTTGCCCTTGGGAGGCTTCAGGCACATCAGTCTTCTCATCCCCCAGGGAAAAACCGAGTTCAGTCCTCTGTCCCTTTTCCCACCTACGTAAGTCAGGCTGAATCAGGAGAAGGAACTCTCAAGGATCTCCTTCAAAATTTTGATTAATCAAATATTCTTTCTGATAAAATTTACATATACTTAGTGAAGAGGATTTTAAATTCAGGGACATTTAAAAAAACCCGGTAAAGCCATTGCCCCACAAATATTATTATTATTAGTATTTTTGTTGTATATTCACCCTGGTTCTTTGTGGTGTGTGTGTGCCCATGTGTATGTGTGTTGAACACATTTTGGATCACCTCTTTTAAAGATTAAATCTGAACAATGTCCATGCAGCTTGGTCTTCCCTATTCCCCCTGCTCGAGCCCGAGGCTTTAAGAGTTCTTTAAGGAGTAAGGTATTTTTAAATCAGTAATTCTCATCTAGGCAACAAATGAACAGAGTAACCATTATTCTTTCAGAAGGAGAGAAGAAATCTAGGGTGATTAGAGGGGGGAGGGGGAGGGAGGCGGAGGGGGAGAGATTGGACAAGGGGCATAAAGAATAACTATGATCTGTAACAATATATATGCTGGTAATATTGATTTGACCGACATAGGTGAATTGATTGTGATTCATTAAAAATTTTTTAAAAATCAATAATTCATCCTGAGATAGTGGTTTTATTAACAAATATCTCACAAATTTTCATTTAAAAAGGGACCTTATGTTGCCCTAAATGCTACATATTTCTTTTCCAAAGTGCCTTTCCTGCCATGTCTCATTCTGGATCTGTCTCTTCATTGCTCGTAGGGGAGGGGTCATTCGGCGTGCTGGCAATGTCGGACTCTCCAAGAGAACAAGACAGTGATTCACAGGTACATGGAAACCTGCAAGTCCTCTTTCCATTTGCATTTCAGATTCTAGTTATTGTATTTGTTAGCTTTTCTTTAGCTTCCGGAAAAACCAGTAAGGGGCAGAAAATTATTGAAAATTTTAAGAACTGTAGAAAAAATCTACAAAAGGACAAATTAACAATGTGACTTAATTTTTAAAATGTGACCTCTTCAGTTTCTTTTGCATTAAATTTTTGTTGTAAGACTAAAGGCAAAGGTATTGGAATACAGTCATGCACTGCACAATGACATCTCAGTCAACAGTGGACTGAGTATATGATGGTGGTCCTATTAGTTTTTAATGAACATACCTCATAGCCTAGGTGTGTAGTAGGCTATACCATCTAGGTTTGTGTAAGTATACTCTATGATGTTCGTGCAACGATGAAATTGCCTGACATCACATTTCTCTGACCATGTCCCCATCGTTAAGCAACGCACGACTATAGTTGGGGGTGGGGGAGTGGGGAAGCCTCCTACCTAATCTTCTAGCAGCTGTTTAAGCCCAAATGGGGGAGGACTTAGGGGGAAGATACTTGACATTTCGAAAATATTTCTCCTTTGTGATTAGGTGTGAGCAGCAAACACTCATAATCTAGCCATCTCTATGTTCTTATCTCAATGAGCCAGCAGAAAAATTTCCTTTCTAGACATAATAACTTCAATTTATGTAACCTTCAACAATTCAACAAATTAGGTTATTCACTTTGCCCTGTGGCAGGAAGCAGAGGAAACCCTGAACGCCTGAATTAGGCTGGAGAGAGACTCTTTACTAGAGGGGGATCCTGTGAAAATGACCAGACCTCTCTCTGTCTGAAAATCAAGAATTAACTGAAATACTGTGTACTTTGTAAGCAGTATAGCACTCTGCAAGCATTGTCCCCACCAAACAATTGAAGGTATTAAGTTGTAATATCTTTGTAAATTTTAATCTATCTTAGTAAATACACTTAACATGCTTAGTAAATGCTTAGCATACTTAATACTTAGTAAAATACTGAATATCTTAGTAAATATACTAAGATACTAAGAGATTAGGTAACTTGCGCAAAAGGTTACAAAATAGTAGCGCCAAGAATTTGCCTTCCTACCCTGGAGCCCTTTTCTCTATCTCAAGTGGCTACACAGACTTTCAACTAAATGCCTTAGGAGCATGGGACACAGGGCCACCTCTGACCAGTACTGTCAGATGCTACACTCTACGTACTGTAGCCTACAGCATAACCACGATCTACCTGACTAGCCCATCTCTCCCCACCAGCTGCTGTGGTCCTGAGAGCTAGGTTACACCATCAGCTTTAAAAATCCTGAGGCCACACTATGTCGTGTGTAGGGCAGGCCCTCAGCCATTAGCCAAGCATCACGGATGAATGAATAGATGGCCAAGAGAATCACAAGGTCATGGAGGGGCAGCCCAAAGACATTGAATGAATGACTGCATGAATATTCACTCAGCAACTCTTGATTGAGCACTCACATATTAATAAATCCTGATTGCTGGCACAGATGTTATCTGCCTTGAGGAGTCTTCCGTATAGTAAGGGAAGCAGATAAGGGACAAGTAATAATTTGGAAGCCCAAGTTTTGGGACACTGGCTTTACAACTCTCTGTGGGGACAGAAGTTTGAGGGAACAGGTGGAGACTAGCTTTTCAGGGCAGTGACTCCAAGTGGGGGGTGGGGCAAGGGAAAGCGCTCGCCTCCTGGGTTGGCTCAGGGGCAGCGTAAGTTGTTTGTTCACGTCTCTAGTGTTTGACCTGCAGAGTCAGCTCCTGGATTAGGTTTTTTTTTTTTTTTTTTTTTTTTGCAGACTTCAGACAAAGTTTACAGAATGAAAAGCAAGCCTCGGGGATACTGTTTGATTTTCAACAACTATGATTTTAGCAGAGCACGGAAGGATGTGCCCAAACTTCACAGAATTAAGGACAGGAATGGAACGCACTTGGACGCAGGTACATGGAACTCAAAAAGAGAAGTGAAAATTTCTTATACCTCTGTTTTTTTTATCAAAAGTGGGAGAACAAAAGCTGTACCGAAAGAGCCATGTGTTTCAAGGAAGTGGTTTAAACATATTTCCCTGTGGAGGTGATGAACATACTCATATATTTGTTACTTCCCTGCTTTTGTTTTTTTAAATTAATTTTTAAAATGAAAGCAATGTATTTATAAAGATACAATATCAAATCTTACCAAAAGGCTTATAATGAAAAGCAGCAATAAACTTTGCTTTTAATTCAACTGAATGAATGGTGCTTCTGTAGAATGCATTAGTGAAAAAATTACTTTGGTATCAAGACTCTTATAGAGGTTGTATTTTTAAAAGTTGGGCTAGTGAGTACAGCAGAAATTGTGGATTCTTAACGGAAATAGCATTTTCATATGTTAAACTAGCCAGAAATTCTTTTGCTCAGCCTATTTAAGCTATGCTTGAGAACTTACTCATACAAGTTAAATGAAAAGGAATTTATGGTATTTGTATATAAATATAACTACAACTAAAAACAATAATAGAAATTATTCAACCTTACCATTAAGATATTAATAATTTCAGTTTGATCAAAGAACTTTTGAAAATGGTGTTTATGAGTCACAACATCAGTTAATGACATTTTAAAAATTGAATCAAGTTTAGAAAATTAATGTAGATTGATTATAATCATAAGGATTCTCTGATGGTCCCTGTTAACATTTGATTCGTTTATTCAAGAAAATCTACTCTAAGGTTTTAAAAAGCCACAGAGCTTAAGTCCATTGACTACATCATTCGTCATGTACTTGGTATTGAAAAAAAGGTTTCAGGCCTTTGATTTTTATTCACTTAATATTTAAAGAATTCTATTAAAATGATATTTGATTCTGTTTCCGGCAGTTCATTTTTCCTATATGTGACCCATGATCGACTGGTCTTGGTTGACGTTGAGTTTGTGTGTCCTGCTTTTCTGTTCCCATTCTTGTGTTCCAGGCTGAATGAGTGGAAGTAGGAGACACAGCTGCCTGGTCATTGCTCCTGCGGTGCTCCCCTCTGTTCTGTGGCAGTGCCTTGTGAACTGCTTTGCAGTCATTTTCTATATCAACATCCCACATTGCCAAAGGAACCAGAATTTTGCCATAGAACCAAGGCACTATGTTAGTCTTGCCGAAGTTCTTTCAGACTGAATAAACCAAAGATTGATTGCATTTCAAAGTTTTTTCTCTATTTCTAGTGCTAAGTTGTCTCTAGACTGATGATTTATGTTTAGTCATGATGTGCTGACAGGGACGAATGCTAAAGAAAGAATAAAACAAGGTGTAACAGGATCAAGAGAACAGAAATGGAGACAAGAGCTAATGAAAGGTTTTAAACAATTTTTAGAGGATGAAATAAAGGAGGGGAGGTAATAGACTTAGATCAGAGAAAATCACAACCCAAGCAATTAAAGAGGGGGGAACAGAAAAGAGGCAAACTCATTTACCCCACAGAATTCTGGAAAAGTGGAGCTAATGAAAGGTTTTAAACAATTTTTAGAGGATGAAATAAAGGAGGGGAGGTAATAGACTTAGATCAGAGAAAATCACAACCCAAGCGATTAAAGAGGGGGGAACAGAAAAGAGGCAAACTCATTTACCCCACAGAATTCTGGAAAAGTGTAGTTGAGGCAATGAGCTGAAATTAACAAGATTATTTTAAAGCCTGTATAAGGCACATTGATACCCCAGATTCATACCCTCCTCTCATAGAGCCAACAACTATTCCTATTCCATCTTAATAAGGAACAAGAAATTTATTCTCTTATAAAATTGTACCAGAGAGGCTCTAGACTTGGGAATACTAGGCCCAGCAAAGGAAGCAGTGAAGCATCCTATCGAAGACAGAGATGGCATGGTGGCATGGAGTTAGTATCTAATACAACTTGGTTCCAAGAACACTGGCAGCAGATACAGATTTTCCTCTGAAAGCCCACATAAAAGACCGGCAGATAATGACATCTGGCGGTCTCCTAATGCAATTGTCAGGTCTCCAACCAATTATCCTGCTACAAAGTTCACCCACCAATGAACCAAGCACACCCAAGAACACAGAGCTTTCAGTGAACTTTTTTTTGTGTGGCTGGCTGGTATGGGGATCCAAACCCTTGACCTTGGTATTCTAACACTGCACTCTAACAGCTGAGCTAACTGGCCAGCTCTCAGTCAACTTTTTAATTGTCTAATTAGTCAGTTTACTAATAGATAGCCAAGGATTATCAGACATTTGAAGAAAGCCTCTAACGTAAAAGAGAGAGGCAATACAAACAAGAAAAAAACAGAATATGAATGAAACAAAGGTAATGTTGAGAAAAATAAACCTTTATAAAAGCTATACTTAATATTCTTAGAGAGATAGTAAAAGGTCCATAAGAGAACAGAATGTTATGAAAAAGGAACAGAAAAAGAAAGAATCCATGAAAATCGAATATATGGGCATCAAAATGAAAACTTCAGCAGTGTGGAAGATAAAGTCTCAGAAATTAGGACAAAAAGACAAAAAAGAATGAAAAATAGGAACAAAAGCAAGAAAATTTGAAGATCAGTCAAAAATGTCCAACCTCTGACAGTAAGAGTTCCAGAAAGAGAGGATAGAAAATATGGGGGAAATGGAAATTTCCAAGAACTGAATGACTCAATTTCCAGACTGAAAAGGCCTAATGAATTGAGAAAGATTCATATCAAAGCATATCACATCCTAGAAGCTTCCAGAGAGAAAAAAAGTCAAATATAGAAACTATGAAGAATCAAAATGTCTCAGTAGCAACACGAGTCCAAGACAGAGAAGAAGTGCCTTCAAAATTCGGAGGAAAAATGCTTTTGGAAATAGAATTCTATATCTAGCTAAACCATCAAAAAGCTAAAAATGGAAATAAAGACACATCATACAAGGGCTGAGAAAATTTACTCCTCATCTATTAGTGGATATGCTCCAGAAAAACAAGCTAGTAAACCAAGAAAGAAGTCGTAGGTTTAGGAAACAGGGAATCTACTGCGGAAGAGACAGAGAGATGTCCCAGGAGAAGAGAAATTCGTGAGGCCTAAGGAGCAGACAGTTGAGACTGGAGCAGAAGGATGTAGTGCTTAAGACAGGAAGTCCGGGAGAAAATAAAAATGAGTCAGGCAAGCAGCCTAAAAGTGTTGGAAGACTTTGCCCAGATCTATTAGAGCATTTGGGGAAAAATAATGTTAAGCATATAAGAAACAAAGAAAAAGTAAAAATAATGCCATCAGTAATTCCAGGAAAGACAAAAAGTTTGGTAAGAAAGGAAATATAATTAAAGGACAGTATGTTTACTAGTTGTAGTACTACAAGTATTACTATGGATTCAACCAAAAATTGTAAATAATTGTGTAAGAATAGCAAATGCTCATCATCCATAAAAAGATCTTACAAAAGTCCAAAATGTATAAATGAATAGATAGCAGTGGACCCATTTGTTACAAAATGGAGGCTAATATAAAAAAAAGCAGTTAAAAGCTGAAAGTGGTTGCCTTCTTTGAACAAGACTGGGTAATAGGATGGGACACAGAGGGGGTAGCTGATTTTGTAATAGGTCTTTTAGTTCCATTTTTTAAAAAAATTATATCTTTTGATAAATATAATTTTGAGAGGGTTCAGCATAAAATAAATATGAATCTTATTCAACAATTGTTTTGTAGAGCTGGCTGGTTAGCTCAATTGGTTAGAGCACAATGTTGGTAACACCAAGGTCAAGGTTTTGGATTACCATACTGGCCGGCTGCCAAAAAATTTTAAAAAGCCACACACACACAAAACAAACAAACAAACATTCTTTTGCTTTTTTCCTGATTATCTAAGTCATACAATCATCTTTTAAATTTGCTTGTGGTAAGCCTGAATTATAGCTTACCCATTTTGTAAACCAGTCCAGAAAAGACAATAGGCCAACGATATGATAGCACTCTCCCCTTTCTCATTTGCCTCAGGGCTTGGGAATGTTGTCAGCCAGTGGCAATAAATATTAGAAGCCTGTAGAATCCAGCTACTAGCATAGAGGATCTTATTCTTTACGTTCTGGTTAAATTCATATCAAAGTTAAACCCTCTATTCTCTTCAGATCTGGGGTGTGGTCTGGGAATCATTGTAGTACAACGTGACTTCTTATTTCTCTTTTCAGAGGCTTTGGGCAAGACCTTTAATGAGCTTCATTTTGAGATAGTAGATTACAGAGACTGCACAGCAAAGGAGATCTGTGAGTTTCTGAAGTCCTACCAAAGCATGGACCACAGTAACAAGGACTGCTTCATCTGCTGCATCCTCTCCCATGGGGACAAGGGCATCGTCTATGGCACTGACGGACAGGAGGCCTCCATCTATGAGCTCACCTCTTATTTCACTGGTTCGAAGTGCCCTTCCCTCGCTGGAAAACCCAAAGTCTTTTTTATTCAGGCTTGTCAAGGGGATAACTACCAGAAAGGTATAGCTGTTGAGACTGACTCAGAGCAGAAGGAAGCCTATTTAGAAATGGATTCATCATCTCAAAACAGATATATCCCGGATGAAGCTGACTTTCTGCTGGGAATGGCCACTGTGAACAACTGTGTTTCCTATCGAAACCCTGTGGAGGGGACCTGGTATATCCAGTCACTTTGCCAGAGCCTGAGAGAGAGATGTCCTCGGTAAGTTTTGCCTCCCCAACCCTTCTCAGTTTAACACTACCTGCCCCCCTGCCCCATCACCACTACCTTATATTCATATTCAGAGTCCACTAGAAAGTGCTTTATGATTGAGATAATATCAACAGATCAGAGAGGTGTCCAAGGGGAGTGGTTTCTAATCATCTCTAAATGTCTAACTGTGGATCACGTAGCTATACTTCCCAGGTCAGTTGCAAAGCGGGAGAGATGGCAAGTGTTGACATCTTTAGTTCATAGATGGAAAAATTGAGATTCTTACTGACGGGTTTCCTTTATTTAGCACCTCAAAGGACAATCAGGGTACCATGGAGCTGGAAAGGACAGTAAAGTCATATAATCCGGGCTCTCTGTCTTTGGGCAGAAAAATGACTGAGCCAACTCAACTGGTTTTGAAGGTCTTCCAAGAAGGCAGTAGCCCTTTTTAATATTTAATATTCTCCAGCTCTGTCAAAAGTTCTATGATAGCTAACCAACCTCAAACCCTCTTGATGCCTTGTGGGAGATAAGTAGCAAGGAGTAGGGTTAGCCTGCTTTGAAGACAAAAATGTGGGGAAATATCCTTCCCTTATTATGGCATATGCTTCCTTTAGTTAAATTATCATTTCATATGTCATGGTTCACCCAAATGCACACACTACTGACAGATGAATAGCAAGGAATCTTCTGCAGGTTCCTCTAGCCCTGTGTGTTGTCATGTTTTGAGTGTATGAAGAGCAAAAATTTCCCTTGACATATAAAAAAGTGAACCATAACATCAGTGCGATGTTTTCATTTTGTAACTCGGCCTGTGAATCCTGTGAGGTTCTGGGGGCTCGCTACCGTGGTAGGTGAAGAGGGTGCCTGACACAACTGCTGAGGGCCTGGAGAGAAGAGGACGGGGTGCTGCAGGAGACAGTCGACTTTCACTTGCCTAGAGTTTGGCTGCATCCTAGATGAATCCACAGAAGCAACATCAATTGGAGGCAGAGGGTAATGGGGGGCCTTGAGGTGATTGGGACCAAGTGACATAGTACATGGAGCAGAGTGAGATACACACAGGTCAGGAGGGAAAGAAACCAAATTTAACACTGAATCCAAGGTTTCCGATGGTCAGTAGAGATCCTGAATGAACCAAAGATAAGTTATTAAGCGTGGAGACAACTCACTTATCAGGAAGCTGTGGTAGGTCTTAGTTTAACAACTTATTGTTTCAAATGCCTGATGTTTTGAGAGGAAGAACCGTAGAACTGTCGCTGAGCACAGCGGACGGGACGGTTCATCAGCTGTTTGCCCCGCGGGTGGTCACGATGTTATGCTGTGTTTTTCAGAGGTGACGATATTCTCACCATCCTGACTGAAGTGAACTATGACGTGAGCAGTAAAGACGACAAGAAAAACATGGGGAAGCAGATGCCACAGCCCACCTTCACACTAAGAAAAAAGCTCGTCTTTCCTCTTAATTGATGCTGTTGTTTACATGAGTAACACTATGCTTTATTTGTTGATAAGCTATTAGTTACTTAGTACTATTTTGCACTTAGATGGCAGAAAGGGAGTTTAGAATTATTAGAATTCTTATGTGAATTCAAGCCGGAATCTCTGGCTTTGCAAACAGTAATAGCCACCATTAGACACTTATGGCCATGGTATTATTTTAATTATATGTTTAATAAGATGAAAACATTTTTTTAAATAACTTACAGTTGATCAAAAAGTATAGTAAGTTTAAAAGAAATATGACAAAAATCTCCTAAAAAGTTCAAAATCTGAATCCTTGACCTTGGTGTATACAACCAGCCATCCCCAATTCCCTTCAAATTGTTAAACATTAGAAACAAAACAAAAATCACTTAAAGGCATCATCCCAAAGCTTTAGCCTTGAACATGCTGTTAATAATAGCACTGGAACTTTATAAGGCACAGGAAGAAGAGAAGTGGTGAAATCACTTTCCCACCAGGAGGCCTCAGAATAATGAATGTTAAAATATTTGGAGACAGCAAGTGTCCCTTCTGCCCGTGAGAGGGCTGATACCTCATTTCTCGTTCCCATGATAATTTGTCAGACTTGCATTCCCACTAACTGGGTGGGATTCTGTGGCACAGAACAATTGGTATGCAGGTGAATGCCTGTGACACCCTCTCAAAGGTCACCGACGGAGATTTTTGTGATCCAGTCTAGCTAAAAAAACCCACCTCACACACTGAGGTTCAGTGTGTAATGCTCCCACATCCAGCCTGACGGTGGCCGGTGGGTAAGACGAGTAATATCAGAAACGAGCACCTCCTCTCTGCCTCCTCTCTTGAGGAATGGGAAGATCCTATGTTTCAGTGATGAAAGACACCATGACTCTATTCAAGGTTAAGCTAAAACTTCAGAACACCTAGGAGTGATTTGTCTTGTCCCTCTCTTTCTAAGCCATCCTCCACACTACCTTTTTATGATACATTTTTGAATGTTGATTTTTATTGTAAAAGATTTAAAATATTAAAATTATTTTGAAAATTCTTTATAATTTGTCCCCAAACTCCCTTTTTGGCCTCTTCTCCTATTGCTCTTGTAATATATACCTGCTTTTGCAGCATCCGATGTGACTGGCTTTTTGCTAATGATGCAGTGCTCGTTTCCTTTATTTGCATTTGCTCTTTCTTTGCTAAATTTATTCCAAATCTTTAGTAATTAATTTCTGTAACAGCTGTATTTTTAAAGAATATTTTTAAAAAAACATTTTTACTAGAATAAAATATAATTTTATGTTACTGCTTCTTGGAGATTTTTTTGTTTGTTTTTGGCCGATGGCATCTCACAGGTGGAAAATGTTTGGATCACAGACATTTTATTTGAGCCTATGGATACTGGCTTCGACAGCTGTATTTTTAAAATTTGTTGTTAACATTTAAAAATTAGGAAGTATCACATGAAAAACCAGAATGCCTTCTGAAGAATCAGAATATCTGACATTGATCCCATGCTCCTGTACGTCAGCCTTCAGACTGGGCATGCGCTCTGCCGTTCACCCACCCCCACACTCTCTCCCTGACCCCCATGCATCTCCTCCATTGACGCTGCTGTCAGTTATCACTTGTCATTGTGCTTGCCAGCCCTCTTCACTTATTCCTGTTGTCTGCCCTATGGGCATTTGAATTCTGGTGATGGTTTAGAGGTGGTGGCAAGAAGCCTCAGGAACTCTTCTTAAGTCATAGGTTAGGGAATACGATTGAGAGCTGGGGAAGGGGGGGCACATGTATGGGAGAAAAAGATTTTGGAATCAAATCAGTTATCTTTCTTGCTAGCTAAATGCCCTAGGGGACAAAAGGCATGCCCCAAAATATAGTCAACATCCAATAGGACGAAGGCCTTCAAATCAGTCTCTTTCTAATGAAATCTGTAAAGGTGGTACAAAAAATAGCACAAAACCCACAGAAAGCTTAGCTCCAGGTATAGAGAACAACTTTTCCATGAAGGGTCATGATAAGCTGTGCAATTGAGGTGAGAATTCAAACATTCCCAACCTCTCAGAAGAAAGCAGTTTTTGAAAAGATAAAAACAGAGTAACCCAAGAACTAAACTTGTCATAAGCATTTCCCAAGAAAACCTCACAGGAGTCCCCTAGGCCTAGAGAGATGGTGTTTCTACCATCTTCAGCTATGGAGAACAACTCTTTGTTCATGATTCTTGTCCCCTGTTGCTACTAACTTCTAAAAGGTGAGAATCATCCTCATAAGTAGCAATAGAGGTTAATCTCCCAGATTGACCATAAATTTCTTCATTCTTGGCAATTATCTTTTGCCTGTAAAAAGAATGGAGAGATGTATCACTAAGACTCAAAGGGTAGAAAGGGGTAGATGACGTTTGAAGGGGGGAGAAATGTGACTTCATTCCTACATTGGGGGCAACTTCACTCTACTCGCAGTGGTTTTGAATTTAGTGAGATATGGTATTTGGGTGACCAAATTCTCATATGTGAAATTTTCTACTAAATTAACACACTGAATAATTTTCCTTTATTAAAGTATTGACTAAAATTTAGTTTAATGATTTAAGATGCATCTTCAAGTAACAGTATAATTTCTGATCTGAGGTTGATTTCCATAGGAATCAGAGGCATCTGATTCCACAGGAATCTAAGGGTAAACCCCCAACTCTCAGGGAAGGTGGATTTAAAAACACCCTCAGTCAGAGAACTGAATAAACTCAGATACTCACAGATAAATTTCCTGTGTTGTTTTGCATAAAAACAGAGACGCAGGTAAAGAAGTCTAGCTACATCCCAGTCCCCCTCACACCAACAGTCTGACCTCTGCAGGTAACTCTGTATTCAGGCTCCAAGTGATACACTTTCCTCCCTAAAGCGCCCATGCCTTGACACGTTTAGGAAGTACTTGGGTCATCTTCTTAACCTATTCTTCACTCCACCCCCCACTCCTAAAGATAACTCAGCCGTGTCTTTTTGAACAGCAGCGTTCACACCTTAGATGAATGTTTTCCTCTTTCAGGATCTGTATGGTGCACTTATACTTTTCTTCAGCTTCAGCAAACTTGGCCTGGAGTGTTTTCTCCAGATTTCCCACCGTAGTTTTCTGAAAGACGTGTAAATTTTAATAGCTATCTTCCCCAACCCCGAGCCATCCAGGGCAGAGCCATATGGCAGAGCTGCACAGAGACCTGGGTTCCTCCCCCAACTCCCATCCCTGCTCCAGCCAGGACTCACCTCTCTCTGGAGTTCCATCTGGGTATGGTAGAGGTTTGTGTTAAGCGACTCTAGGATAAGAGCTTGTGCATGTAACTCTTTCTCCATGACCTGCATAAGAAGACATTGTTTCCAGACATCATGCTGGTGTCTACCTATTTATCCCCCTTCTCCAGGGTACCTGAACTAGCATGTAAGGCAGCACCTTCAGGCACTCCTTCTCACAGCCGATCAGTCACCTTACCCTATTGATCTATGTCCTCTCTGCCCCGCCCATTGATACCCTGTCTTCAGCCTCACTGTCACTGCTGTGGAGCCGGCTCCCACCAGAGCTCACATGGACTATTACAATGGTTATCAACCATTCACTCACTAAACAAGTCTTTACTCAATACCTACTACCGATTCCAACTATATGACACTTTGGAAAAGGCAAAACTACAGAGACAGTAAAAAAAATTAGAGGTTGCCAGGGGTTGGGAGGGGAAGAAATGGAGGAATAGGTGGGACAGAGGGCATTTTTAGGGCAGTGAAAATATTCTGTATGACGCTGTAATGGTGGATACATGACATTATGTGTTAGGCAAAACCTATAGAGTGGACAACACAGTTTACCCTAATGTAAACTATGAACTTCAGTTAATAATAATGTATCAAGATTGGCTCAATTGTAACTAATGTATCACCCTAATGCAAGATGTAATAATAGGCCAATGGTGGGGTGGGGCGGGGGAGTATATGAGAGCTCTCTGTACTTTCCCCTCGATTTTTCTGTAAACCTAAAACTGCCCTAAAGAAGTAAAGTGGGGAGGGAGAGGGAAAAAATTTTAAACCATCCATTCATTTAAAAAAACTCCAAACTACTACAGGATGAATAGGAGCCTGTGCAAAGGTCCTTAGAAGGCAAAATGCTTAGTGTATCTGAGGACCTGAAGGAGCACCAGTGTGACTGGCAGGATAGTGGGCCAAGGTGAGGAGATGCAGAGGAGGCAGGTCATAGCTGAGAGGCCAGGGGACCTGAAAACAATGTGCTGCTACTGAAGAGTTTTAGGCAGAGAAGTGTTTGCCTTTACCTCACTGTTTACACTTATCTCAATGCTCTGTGGAGAGTGGACTGGAGGAGGCAAGAGGGAAAGAAGGGGACTAAGGAAGAGAGTACTACAGTAGTGCAGGGCACAGAATAATAGACTAGGGGGAGGTGCCACAGAATTGGAGAGAAGTGGATGAATTTGGAATATGTTATAGAGGATTGGCTGATGCTGATGGATTGGATGGGGAGAATAAAAGAAAAGAAATCAATTTGGGGGTTCAAATCTCAAGTGGAAAATCAAGGGTATGAAGATGGACAGGTTAAGTTTGAGGTGTCTGTAAGTTACCTATGTAGAAATGTTAAATGGGCAGTTGGATATGCAATCCTGGAGCTCAGAGAAGGGGCTAGGCTGGAGGTATCAATCCTAGCAGTCAGCACAGAGATAACATTGACATCTATGTGAACAGATGAACTCACAGAAGGAGAAAGAGGAGATAAAGAAGAGAAATGGAGTCTAAGACCAAGCCCTGGAACATTCAAGGACTTAGAAATTAGGTGGATGGGGTGTGGGGGGACCTAGCAAAGGAGACTGAGGAGTGACCCATGAGGCAAAAGAAAACCAAAAGCCTATGAAATCCAAGAGAGGAGAGTGTTTCAAGGGAGCAGTGACCAATTGCACCTGATACTGCTAACGTCAAGTGAGGTGAGGCATTCCTCGGACTTGGCAACTTGGAAGTTACTGGTGATTTTGACAAGAGCAGTTTCAGTGGATGGGGTTGGAGCAGAAGCCAGGTTGCAATATAAATGGGAGTGACCCTCCAACAGGTCCTGCCTCCCATCACTTTGCCTCTTCAGACTCGCCTGCACATTGCTACGAGAGTTGTCTTCCCATCTGATATTCTCCTCCTCAGAAACCTCCAGTGGCTTCCCACTGTCTACAGAATCAAATCCAGACTCCTTGTGGTGATGAATGGGGCTACTGATGGCTCAGTGAGTCCAGTGTTAAAAACAAAAAAAGACTTCTTTGTCCTTCTCTATGGGCAAACCGGAAGTTGGGTTCATTTTCCATTGTGTTCTCCTGGAAAACTATGATAAAGGTGGAATATCAGCCTTGTTACTAGGCAACATTGCATAGAGTAAAATGAACTGCACCTGGACTGGGAGGAGTGTGAAGCAGCACAAACACCTGGCAGGAAGCCATAGCTTTGGTCTTCCCTGGGGGCAGTGACTCTTGTAACTGGGCACGACCTGGAAGTTATGCCTGAGGATCTGTTGCAAAAGATTTTGGGACAAGAGGCTTCTAAGCTAGATTAGCTTCTGTACCCACATAGGTGAGTCTCATTTTCCCTCACCTGAACTGTTTCTTGTGGGGCCACACAAGACCAGCCCTGGACCGCCCGAGAACTCTTGCGAGGCTCCCACAGAAGAGGAATCTCCTGATGCTGCTTTCCTGGCAGGCGGTGCTTCCTGCCTTAGGGCCTTCTAAGTGAATCCAAGACAAAGTGCGGCCTGTGCTACCACATGAGTGTGAGATCTTTGTTGGAACTAAGAGCCCTTTAACCACTGGCCCTACGCTACCTTTCCTAATCAGCCTTGCTCTTTCTTTCATACACCAGGTCCTTTCATTAGGTCACCAGCTTTGCTCATGTTCTGCTCTCAGGTTGGACCTCCATCTCCACTCCCTCCTCATTTCTGAGATTCAGAAACACTCAGCTGCCAAAACCAGCTCAAATGCCATATTGTAACCTTTCCTGACCCTATCACCCACTCCACCCTCAACAGGACTAGTAGTTCTTTCCTCTGAAGGATTTATACTGTGCTTACATTTTATTATAAACATGTCCCTATTTGTCATCTTTGTAGTACCTCAAAATCAGCACCTAGAAGGTGCCATATACATTCTGTTAGGTGCCAAAGAGGCTAAAAAAATGAACTTGATGGGTCTCTGCTTCCAGGTATCAGCCCCATTTAGCTCTTATATGTCCTCAGAGCACTAGAGCTCTTCCCATGTAGTGTGCAGCCTGCCAAGATGTATGAATTGGAG